CCCCCCCCCCCCCCCCCCCCCCCCCCCCCCCCCCCCCCCCCCCCCCCCCCCCGCCGCTCCTGAACAGTCTCAACGGGCCTGTCCACTTGACCATGCAGGATACGCACCACTAATGCAGCCACCCCCTGCCTTCGCCCACATACCCTATATCCACCATTCCTGCCATCCCATCAACAACTGGTCGTCCCACACCCAACCTGCGGAAACACGGAACGGGCGCCAGCCACAAGCGAATGGGGCACGAGGACTTCAAGTACGAAGGGAGAGAGACTGGATCTCAACAGCAGCAAAAGACATCAACCCTGTATCTTATCCACTGCCCATTGTACAATGTTCACCCTTGAGTCCGGCGGTACCCAGATGGCCACTCCACCTGAACCACTCCCTGGCACAGGGGAGTGGATCTTTTGAAAAGGCCAGACAATATTATGGGTCGGGAATGAGCTGGTGGGTCGGTAAGATGTGTTTCTTGTACACAAATCAAATCAGGCCATGTGGCGAGTCTTCATGGGCGACCCTTGAGCTGGTGGACGCTTTCGTGGTACCAGCTGTCGCACGGCGCGGTGGACCTCGAGCATTCCTCCTCGCCCGAACCGACAAAAAACAAATAAAAAAAAAAAGAAACTTTGCACTTTGTCGTTGGCAGGTATCCCTCTTCACCGAGGAAAATAAAATCCAGCAGCCTAGCTCAGTTGGTGAGGCATGCCAGTGGCATTCAGGAGGTCCTTGGTTCAGCCCCCATTGGCCTCATGTACCTTACTTCCTGGGCAAGCTTGGCGCCCGCCTTCTAAAGATAGCCCGCTGGTTCCCCGGGCGGCATTGAGCAGAGACTGCTGTAGGGGGAGGTGAGGCAAAGCGACTGGCCCATCGAAGAAGCTCCGTCTGATGCTAGCGGCTGACCCCTGGCGGCTCTCGCCCGCGTGCAGATCAGGTGCAGCCGCCGCATGTTCCGCCATTAAAGGCTTGGACTCGGGCTGGCTGCTACGGCTTCCCCATGACAATACTATAATGATAATAAAAAGGCCTGAAAGGCTGTCCTATCCAGAAATTAGTTTAGCCTTATGAACAAAAAAGGGGATAACTTGCAAAATACCCCCATGAGTTGAGATATATGTCAAAATGCCCTTGAAAGATGTGGGTAGAGCGGAATGCCCTTTTGGGCTGAGATCTTGGGGCCCAAACCGTCTTCAGCCTGGGTGAAAGGCGCCTTCAAGCCGTGGGCACATCTCCTGGCCACATCTCCCTGGGCCTGTTTTTGCCGGTTCAAGAATTTGGCGCTGTTGTTGTGCCAGATTCATGAACCGGTAGGGCCCTTCTTTTTCAAAATCCCGTGCGTGGGCCTCATTCCATACTTCAGCGGTGGTACATCAAAATGAATCTGGCGCTGTTGTGCACCAGATTCATGATCCGGTAGGGCCCTTGGAGCAACACGTGGGCCTGTAGTACCCCACATGGAAGTCATTGGGCCGGTAGTACCAAACGGCCGAGTTTCGGGCACCCAAAACCGAAAAGGTTTTGGCGTGGGCGCTTTCTACCGATTATCCCTGAAATCTTTGTATTGCGGCCCTGTCACGCGGGCCTGCAACTTTGCAAATCTGGACCTCCCCGTTTGGGCCTTGGGCATTTGCAATAGAGCCTAGGAAAAGTTGGCAAGTACTGGGGCATTTTGCAAAATTGGACGGTACCCGGTAGGGGTATATTGCAAAGATGGGGGTCTAACCGACACCAGGGGTATTTCACAAAATATGTTTTTAGTGAGAGGGGCATTCAGCTCTACCCACATCTTTTAGGGGCATTTTGGCATCTATCTCAACTTCTGGGGCTATTTTGCAAATTATCCCAGAAGAAGAAAAACTATAGAAATTCAACTACCGGCCCTTGCAGACGTTCCGCCATGACGCATCCCCACAATGTTTCGCACCTGTCCACAAACACGTCCAGATTCAGACATTTCTTCCAATCCTCTTTGCAAGTGGGATCTGGCGCATAGTGTCGTAGTGGGATCAGACCCGAAACCTCCTCAAGTGGGGAATGGCGGTTTCCAGCAATTTTATTTTCATGATTTCATCTTTGGGGGATGCTGACCAGGTTCCGAGCACGTGCAAACAGTGCAATTGCCCAGTGCACCAAAAGGAAACGGAAAAGAAGACAAAGGTGACAGTGATGTTAGGTGCCACCCATTCAAAAAACAAGGCACTTCTTGCGACGGCTCCTGTGACGCGTAGAACTTTTTCTCCTCAGCTTCAGACGGAAGAAGACGGGAGTTTAGTGACCCACAGTCGTGCGAATGTCATTCCGTGGATCTTGCCTTGGTAAGAAACCAGAGACCGAGAAAGCGAGACAGGACCGTCATAGCTCTCACTTCATCAGGTCAGTGTGCCGTCTCTCTCTCTCTCTCTCTCTCTCTCTCTCTCTCTCTCTCTCGCGCGCGCGCGCGCGCAGACACACACACAAACAAACACACACACGTCCAATGAGTCCGTGAAAGTCCGGCTAAACAGTCTAGCACATCATGCTTTTTTTAGTGTATAGTAGCGAATATGACAACGCACACACACACACACACACACACACA